GGCAGTGTGGAGGCATCTCAGGAGACAGGAAGAGATTGTTCGAGCTGTTTCGAACAGCACTCGATGCCTCGCTGTCCTGTTAGACACCTTTTGAGACAGCACTTTAGCCCGTTTCGAACACAGCCTCTAATTCCAAGAACCCAATCTTTCATTCCACAAACCCTATCCTGATTTCAAGAATACAATCTGTCATACCAAAAACTGCATCCTAATTCTAATAAAACAAACGTGACCTGATTCCAAGAACACAATCTATCATACCACATACTGAATCTAATTCCAAGAACACAATCTATCATACCACAAACTGTATCTTCTTCCAAGAGTACAATCTTTCATTCCAAACACCATATCCTGGTTCCAATACTACAATCTGTTTTTCAAAAAACTGTATCTAATTCCAAGAACACAATCTATCATACCACAAACTGTATCTAATTCCAAGAACACAATCTATCATACCACATACTGTATCTATTTCCAATAATTCAATCTATCATACGACAAATTGTATCTCCTCCCAAGAGTACAATCTTTCATTCCAAACACCATATTCTGGTTCCAATACTACAATCTGTTTTTCAAAAAACTGTATCTAATTCCACGAACACAATCTATCATACCACAAACTGTATCTAATTCCAAGAACACAATCTTTCATACCACAAACTGTATCTTCTTCCAAGAGTACAATCTTTCATTCCAATAACTGTATCGGCAAAAAATTCATAAAAATTCTGAACTTCATTTTCCTATATTGTCCGCTAGGGGCGCAGTGTTTTAGTCAGAGCAGACAACATGATGCAACACTGCGGCAGAACTAACAGCAGATGGTTGCACTGAGCTTCAGGGTCTGTAAGTGGCATTTGGTTCTATCATTTTATCTGGTTTTCTGTTGGCCCTGGCACCCTTCTTCAAAAAAGAGAAAAGTTGACACACAGTATCGGATTTTTCTAGAAAAATGGACCACTTCCTATATGTTCACGGAGGTGAATGGGAAACCCGTGGGCCTGGTGTGCATGCAGCAAGTTACAGTGCTTAAGGAATATAATATTCGGCGCCACTATGAAACTCGGCAGAACATGGCAGAAAATACAACAGCTTGCACGGACAACTGAGAAGACAGAAGGTAAATGAAATGTTGGTGGATCTGACGAAACAGCAGTCTGTTTTCACCCGGAGCTGAGAGGCCAGTGATGCTGCAGTGAAAGCCAGCTACCTAATTGCTAGCAAAATAGCATTAGCATCAAATCTGTACTGTGAGGGGGAGTTCGTCAAAAATTGCATGCTGAAGGCTGCAGAAATTGTGTGTCCTGAGAAGCGACAAGCTTTTGCCAATATTAGCTTGACGAGAAATACCGTGGCAGACAAGATTTAGGAACTATCGGCAGATTTGGACAGCCAATTGAAACACAAAGTGGAGTAATTTCTGGCATTTTCTGTTCCAATTGTTGAGAGTACTGATATTACAGATGTCGCTCAACTGGACATATTCTTTCGTGGAGTTGACGAGACTTTGACTGTCACAGAGGAGTTTCTTGAGTGGGTGCCTATGACCGACACCACAACAGCTGAGGACATTTTTTGCTCCGTAGTTGGAGCTCAGAGTCGGGTCCGACTGGTCTTGCGCCGTAAGCATGGCAACAGATGGTGCGTCGTCAATGATTGGGAAAAAGGCAGGTGTTGTGACAAAGTTCAGAGAGAAAGTACAAGCAAGTACAATGTCCACTATGGCTGCAGGACCTTACATTTATGGTTGATATTACAGAGCGCTTGAATAATCTGAACAAAATGTTGCAAGGACGCAAAAAAAAATAATGCTCGCCATCTGGTGCCAAAGCATGAGCTGAGTCATCACACTGAAACGTGTGAGGACAGAGATACTGTGGTCACTGAAGACGGTGGAAGTACAAATGGATATTGGCAACTGCAGATCCCAGTCAGTACTTGGATAAACCCAAACATGACCGAGGACTGGGACAAAGAGGCTGATGATACTGCTGTTCCATTTGTGTGGGGCGTCAACACGGTCTTGAATAAAAATCCGGAGATTAGGCCTACCAACAATCTTGGTCCAAGTTTTAGAACACCTAATACCCTCCCATGGTTCGACATGTAATTTCTGCTTACTGTTTATCCAAATGGAAGCTTATTGTAGGCATGTTGTTTGTTTGTGTGTATATGCATGCATGAAAATTTCTTTTTAAATTTGTTCTTAAATGTTTTCCCACTTGGCACAGCTGTGTCTAAATTTTCTTATGTGGGATCTAGGTTGCAGTGATCGTGTTTTCAGTCACCTGATGTGGCAAATACCTTAAATGCAAAGTATTGTGACAGTTACATAGCATATTTACACTACTGTCATTTTTCTCGTATTTTTCATCGCCCTCCTGTTACACAAATAAATGTAACTGGGTAAGTACATGGCCTCTCGCCTTGTTATATTTCTGACCTTTTAGTCCCATACGCACCAGCACGTACCTTGAGATCCTCGGGCAGAGGTCTGTTGTCTGTTCCAGAGTCTCGACTGAAAACTAAAGGGGACAGAGCGTTGGCTGTCAGGGCCCCGAGGCTCTGGAACAGCCTGTCCCTTCTTAAAACATACTTTTATAGGAGAGCAAATAAGGATTATTATTATTATTATTATACAATTCCAAACGAGTGATCCTCCATTCCAATAGATAGTTTTTAAATATTGTCCATTGTGTTCATCTAGTTAATTTGATATGCAATTATCATTATTATCATTATTATTTATTATTATAATAGAATTCCAAACGAGTGATCCTCCATTCCAATAGATAGTTTTTAAATATTGTCCATTGTGTTCATCTAGTTAATTTGATATGCAATTATTATTATTATCATTATTATCATTATTATTATACAATTCCAAACGAGTGATCCTCCATTCCAATAGATAGTTTTTAAATATTGTCCATTGTGTTCATCTAGTTAATTTGATATGCAATTATCATTATTATCATTATTATCATTATTATTATTATTATTATTATACAATTCCAAACGAGTGATCCTCCATTCCAATAGATAGTTTTTAAATATTGTCCATTGTGTTCATCTAGTTAATTTGATATGCAATTATTATTATTATCATTATTATTATACAATTCCAAACGAGTGATCCTCCATTCCAAGTTTTACTCTTTGACATGGAAACAATGACACGATTGACTCCAGGAAGTGAATAGTCATGCACTTGTAGGAATACATTGAACCACTGGTAAGTGTCTTCAGTGTGGCTTTGTAACTCCGTCAGAGTACAAGAGAGTGTTTTGCAGACTGTTGTCAAGGTAAGTCCAATTCAAATCTCTAAGCCTTAAATTTTAATCACTAATTATTCCAATATTTGCATTCCAATTTATAGATCTTTCACGCTCAACATCCAAAGTACTAAATATCCCAGTTACTGGATACCAATCCCTAATGCAGGTGTTTGTGGTTGAAGAGAAGCTGGTGTGTGAGGTGGATGCCATACACAGCATGGTGAATCATTGATTTAAGATGCCACGCCACGGCAGACACTCACCGTTTGAACAACTTTTCATCACCAATTTCTTTTTGTTACACAACCCAAATTTGACCAATTAGCTGGGAGGAGTTTGTAAGGGTACAGACCTGCAAATGAGTGAAAATAACCATTAAATCCAAAATGGCCGACTCCCTCTTGGGTAAGAGGCTTTTTGGTACGTCTGGACATGATACATGTGCCACAGAAATTTCATCCATGTAGTTAAAACGTGCTGCGGGGGCTGCTTCGTTAAAGGTCACTTCCTGTTGCCAGTAGGTGGCGCTGTGATGAATTTTGGTAAGTAGATGTATTCAGGGCGGGACTCCTATCAACCAAGTAAAGTTTGGTAGAGATTTGAGCATGTACAGTGAGGTTACAACAACTTCCTGTTTCACTGCGAATCATTTCAATGCTACACCAGGGACAAGCCCACTGGGCGCAGGAGCATCATTTTTAGACAGGATGTTCCTGATTTTCGCAATATTACGTAGGTGAAAAAAGGCGGTCCTTGAAATTTGCTTAATGTGAGACTTAAATGACATGTCCTGATCAAAGATAACTCCAAGATTCCTCACAGTGGTGCTGGAGGCCAGGGCGATGCCATCAAGGGAAACTATATCTTTAGACAATGCGTCACGGAGGTGCTTGGGCCCCAGAACAATAACTTCAGTTTTATCTGAGTTTAACATTAGAAAATTAGAGGTCATCCAGGTTTTAACATCCTGAAGGCACATTTGAAGTTTAGCTAACTGATGAGTTTCATCTGGTTTGATCGATAGATCTAACTAAGTATCATCTGCATAACAATGAAAGCTTATGGAATATTTCCTGATAATATTGCCTAAACGAAGCATATAAAGTGAAAAGGATTGGTCCGAGGACAGATCCTTGAGGAACTCCATGAGCAGTCTTAACTTAGCGCTCTGGCTCATTCTGCTTCCTGATGCGTCTATTAGAGTACATCTCGAATGAAAGGTAACTCACATTCGAGAATTCACGATACATTTCCCATAGTAAAATCGTATTTTGTAGTATTTCCAAAGGTATGCTCTATTGTTCCTAAAAGTGTATCCAGTGCAAAATTCCAAAAAGGGAATATCAATGTCTAATTTGAGGTAGCCTTCTGCATATTGGACATGTATGCAACAATCTAAAGATGAAATCTTATTTCCTAATTTAACTCCAAGAATGAAATCCAATTGTCTAAATCTTCCAAACACAGAATCTGATATGTTACAAAGAGTGTCCAATTCTCTATGCAGGATACCAGAATGAGAACATTAATGTCTGAAGTTGAGTAGCTCTGTTGAAAAACATCGACATTGTCAGTACAAATATTGTATGTGCTCCTAACATCCCAGGAATTCAAGCTTTTAATGCATTTAATGTACTCGTTCAAATGGTTCACATGGTCATATCTTGTTTTATTCAACTTGGAAGATGTCCCAAAGAGAGTCGTCACCTGACTGTTACTTCCTCAAAAATCGTTAACAACGCACTGGAGGCTGAAGATGCAGCCGGAGAAACTGCCCGAGCGTTGTCTCGCCCGTCTTCTGATGCTGTGCCTGGTTCCGTAAGTTTACATATCACACAATTTCACACATTTCAGAGGTGAAAACAGATACTGTACATCACAATACAAATTGACCGTCTTCTTTTGTTTCAGCAGCAACATTGTGGTTGTGAGGTGGAAAAGGAACCGTCATCCTCCAGCTGTTAATATTAGTGACGGAAATATTGTTAGGTTGTTCTAAAAGGAGTCGGCACCTCAAGTTCATAGCCTGCAAGTTCTGCGGCCAGGCGGTCTCTCATCCACCTCCTGATGCTGTGCCTGGTTCCGTAAGTTTACATATCACACAATTTCACACATTTCAGAGGTGAAAACAGATACTGTACATCACAATACAAATTGACCGTCTTCTTTTGTTTCAGCAGCAACATTGTGGTTGTGAGGTGGAAAAGGAACCGTCATCCTCCAGCTGTTAATATTAGTGACGGAAATATTGTTAGGTTGTTCTAAAAGGAGTCGGCACCTCAAGTTCATAGCCTGCAAGTTCTGCGGCCAGGCGGTCTTTCATCCACCTCCTGATGCTGTGCCTGGTTCCGTAAGTTTACATATCACACAATTTCACACATTTCAGAGGTGAAAACAGATACTGTACATCACAATACAAATTGACCGTCTTCTTTTGTTTCAGCAGCAACATTGTGGTTGTGAGGTGGAAAAGGAACCGTCATCATTAACATTAACACACTACCTGCTAATGATAATGCAGATGCCTTCACACACACACACACACACACACACACACACACACACACAAACTTACAAAAAAAACCATGACAAGGTTAATAAAAGTTTTTTCAATGTCAAAAAATGTGTACTCTTTCACTGGGGATGGGGATGAGATTGTGTCCAATTCCCTATGCAGAATTCCAGACTATGAACATTCATGTCCAATGTTAAGTAGCTCATTTAAAAGACATCTGAAATATCAATGTCAGCCAAATAAATAGGTGTAATAAAATATAAAATAACTGTAAGATATGCAAGTCCACCTTTGTTTTTAATGCCAGAGTGGTTAGGTTTTGTTCCATTTTTCATTAAGTTGATTTAGAAAAATCTCTGGAGCATTGTTTTCTTTGTTAAAATGAAGGTTTTTGTTTTTTAAAGTGATGACCGAGCGGCTGAAAGTGAGTTGATGATCAGCTGAGCCTCTTAAATCAGCATTTGACTGGCCTGAAATAACATCCATACGTATAAAACACTTCAAAATTACAAAAAATACAATTCCAAACGAGCGATCCTCCATTCCAATAGATAGTTTTTAAATATTGTGCATTGTGTTCATCTTGTTAATTTGATATGCAATTATCATTATTATTATACAATTCCAAACGAGTGATCCTCCCTTCCAAGTTCTAATATCACATAATTACTTATAAAGGGATCGCCTGATTGGTTACCGAGCGTGGATTGCAGTGCACTGTTAACATAGGTCACACAGTCACATTACAGGCGGATGAGCGAAACACCTATTCAAGGTAACTCCTTCCAAATCAGTCTGATTTTGTGTCCTAATCACTAATGTTATGATTGAAAACACTAACAATTCCAAGAAATGTTTCTAGCAGTCCTATTTTTGTATCTTGAGCACTAATGTTATGATCGAAAACACTAACAATTCCAAGAAATGTTTCTGTAGGAGCCATATGGGTTATTTCCCTCCAAGCTACAGGGGGCATGATACTGAGTTGTGGTGTTAAGGCCGGTGCTTGCCTCAGGTAATTTAAGTGCCTGTGTTGATGCAACCTGGTGTTGTTCATTTCTAAGGTAATAAAAACGTAACCCGCTGAAAACATAGTTCTGGGTCTTGTATTGCATTTCTGTCAACAGATCTAAGAAATATTACACACTGAACCTTTAAAAGGGCGTAATTCCAAATGAATGGTCCTTTCTGCTGCCATAATTCCAAAACGAGAATATGCAAATGTTTGTTTACTATGTAAAGATATCAAATTCCAAGCAACTGCTCCTCCATTCCAGTATGTAGTGTGTAAATATTGTGCATTGTGTTCATCTAGTTAATTTGATCTACAATTCCAAACGACTGATCCTCCCATCCAAGTTCCAAGGTCCGTGTACGTTCTGATAGTTAAAATAAAAAATAAAGACAGGTGGACCAGGTGAAGTAATAGTTCACATTAAAATAAAAGCCAAGCTTTTAGAACGGTCAGATCTGTAACATTATGCAACACTAACGTTATACCAGGGTGATGTTAGATGAAAATAAATAAATAAATAAACCTGGACCAAGAGAAATACGTTAGCAACAGTAGTTGATTACATGCACTATAATATTGTGCATTTATTCATGTAAACAGCAAGAGTCACGTTTTTTTTAAGCGCATTGTTTGGTGCAATACAGTTGGTAGGCTAATATAGGTTACCCTAGGAAATGATTGTGTATGCAGAGTTGTTACTGTCAGCGCTATATTTTGAATATTAAATTCATATTTAATCTGGTTTCCACCGTAATGTACCAAGTTGTTTCCCCTTTCTACCAGCAGGTGGCATGTACTGTGTCTTTAGTAAATGTTTTGAATCCAGATTACCGATACAGATGTATTTATTGTTGTTCATTCATTTGGTTTTTGATATTTGTCTTATGTCTTATTTGCAGCCTAGTTATCATCTTCATCATTCACCCTCAGCCCAGAGTTAAAGCTGCACGCCCTTCTGTTCTAACCTGGTTCTAACACTGCTGTCAGCTTCTCAGCAGCTCTGACAACAAACGCACATCAGAAATGTCCTAATGTAGGCCTTCACTAGCAAGGAGCACGCCACAACAATATGTCGTTTAAAGGTTTAATGAATGTCCTGGATGTACATATAGATGAATGAATGTAAGGGGGGAATGGTGGTGGAGAAAGGATGCCATCTGGATGCTGATCTGGGAGGCTGCATGATGAGCGGGCAGCTGGGGGTTCCGTCTCGGTAGAAGTTTCGCCCGAGTGATTTATTGACCCCCCAGACGGTACCTAGATGAGACATGAGAGAGTGGTGCACCGGGTTGAATAGGAAGGGATGAGGGATGAAGGGATGAGAGGGTAAAGGGTGAGTGGATGAAGGGAAGGGAGAGGGAGGGTGGGTCGAGCAAACTGAGACAGAGGAGGCTGGTTGAATAGCCCCGGTGTAGATATACTTGTCAGCTAATTCGAGGTGTGGTTTTAGGCGTGGCCCTGCTCCTGAACTTAAGTTAACTAATTAACTTCATATCTGGCCAAAAGAAGGATTTACCAGTGTGCTATATACTGTGTGAATCTTTCTTCTCCATGTGTATAACATACAACACTCCCACTGTATCATGCAAGTGAAGAGAACACTTTCCATACAACAATTATTCAACATATAGAGCACATACATACTTTCAAATGCATTTAATGTACAATCTATGGCTGCAGAACATTGACTGTGAAGCCATGAGTTAAGAGCATTTTACGAGGTCCTCAAAAGAAAGTCCAAAAACTTAATTACATTATTAAAAAACAGGCTGTCAACGCTGAGAATGTCTTCTCAGGACATCGGTCAGGCCTCTGAGGCCATATTTAAAATGTTCTGGCTGATATTGTATGCTAACAAATACAAACAAAAAACAAAGTTAAAATAAAAAAAGACTACAATGGCTTTTTAGTTGAACTTTGACCTGACCAAGCAGTTCCTCCCTCCTATGTTTTATGAGAGCAGCTCCTCCCCCTATGAGTAAAAACAAATTGGCATTTATGTATATATTATTCAAAAAACACACAGGCCTAGATGAGGGAAACCTTTAAAAAGTTGAAGCTAACTGTGCAGAAAAGCTGCCAGCCAGAAGACCTCCTGGGCCTCAGCCAGTACAGTATGCCCGCACCTACAAAGTCAGCACTGTGGCCCTGATTGTTGATCAGGTGAACACTGAGTGGTCAGACTTTCTCTCAATAACACATGTGGAGTCTGTGGTCAACACTTTGAGGGACACTATTAGAAATTAAGAAGAATTAAGAAGGCCACATGCCATGGTAGTTGTGCTCTAGTTAGTTTACATATATATGTAGTTTATAAATAGTTTTTTGTTTGAAATGAAAAGATTTAAGCATACTGTTGTACAATATCAGCCAGAACATTTTAAATATGGCCTCACACACCTGACTGACGTCCTGAGAAGACATTCTCAGCATTGACAGCCTTTTCTTTTATAATTTAATTATGTTTTTGGACTTTCTACAGGCCTGCTGCTCTTGAGAACCTCATAAGTGTTACCTTATGGCTTCACAGTCAATGTTCTGCAGCCATAGCTCGTACATTTATATTAATACATAACATTACATGACGTTAATTATTGCCATGGATGTATGCTATACAGTGGTGCTCGAAGTTTCTAAACCTTTTAGAATTTTCTGAATTTACTGGCTTCCTGTCTCACTCAGGATTGAGTACAAGATGTCACTCCTTACCCACTAGTGCATCCATGGTGAAGGTGAGATTGTACATTAAATGCCTTTGAAATCATCTATGTGCTCTATATGTTGGATAAATGTTGTATGGAAAGACTTGCATGGATTCTCTTCACTCATTACTGCTGACTCATTACTATTCAAACATTGGAAAACACCCTGCTGCTGTAAACTTCTGAATTAGTGAGAAGGCTGCCTTGTGGATTATCAGAATTCTCCTCCCGAGTCTGACGGGAGCTCGCGTCTTTTTCCCCCCGTCTCCACATGACACAGCTACTCTTTCAGCCATTAAAAAAGTTCATGGCAGAGCAGTTATATTTCATTTTGTTTCCACTGAATTGCATTATGGTGATATCCTGGAGAAAAAGTTCATAAGACGCCTAAGGATAGGGCTTTGGAATATCTTGTACTGGAAATGCATGTGAGGTTAAAACTCGTTTTTACCTACCAGTTTCTCTTGTACTACGCATGCGCAGTTGACTCGAGTGAGTGGAACCACAAGATTGGCTGAAATATGTTTTACACCCGGCTGTTAAAAGCAGAAGTTTGGTTTTCTGGCGGGAGGGGTGGGGTAACTGCCATATTTGGCCTTCAAGGCTTTCCCTATACAGTTGGATAGAGTGCCGTGTCTCCTGTATAAAACGTCCGTCTGTACCCACACATTAAACATGTCCTACAAAAAGCACCAGAGTTGGTTGAAGCCGCAAAGGAACTGCACCTCACATTTGACAATGTCCAAACAAGACTAAGGAAACTCTGGTTTTGTCGTTTTATAAGAAAGACAGCTGGAGCTAATGTAACTGAGGAACCACATCACTTCATACCCAACACTGTCGTTACTCATCCTGTTCATAAGCTTTTTGACAGTTTTCATTTCAGTGTGTCATTTCTTTTGTAGTTGTACTCCTCTAGGCCCTTTGTTATGGCCATTTACCACCACATGGTACCAGCTCGCCTGCTTTTTTTGGTTTTCCACTGTGGAAAAGTTGTACCTGTACCTGCCACCCTGTACTGTTTTTTGGTAGTCAAAGTCGATGCCAAAAGGTGATGTTAAAGCACTGCAGACTACTAATACTATTATTAACTACTATTTACCAGACGGAGA